TGTAAAGCACTCACCTTGAGCTGAAGAGCACAGGGACAGCGCCCAAGCCCAGAGTTCAAGCTCCAGGATCAAACAAAACAAAACAAAACAAAACAAAACAAAACTTGGGTATGATAGTTTGTTTCTGTTATCCCAGCCACTGTGCAAAGCATAAATAAGAAGGTCAAGGTCTGGGCTGGACCAGGCAAAAAGCAAAACCCTACCTCAAAAATAATGGGCAAAAAGGGCTGTTGGTATGGCTCAAAGGTCAAAGTAACTGCCTAGCAATCACAAAGCTGAGAGCCCAGTACTAATAAATAAGTAAATAAATACGTACATCAACTCTTGGGTAAACAATGCTTTAAGTTTATTACTACTGTTAGGACACTCATTTATTTAAATTTTCTTCTCCATGTAATACTATAGAGTTACTTCACAGAAAATGTTTTGTTATTTTTCCCTCAGTCATCTGCCTACCTGCTTCCTTTACTTAAAAACCACATTAGTTTTCCTGCTTTCTTGCAACTAGCGCATGGGTGTAGTAGGATGTGCATCTGCACCTTCTCTGGAAGATTTATTTGGCTAATCAAAAGATGAGAAGGGCTGGAAAGGTGACTCAGTGGTACAATGCTTGCCTTGCATGCACGAGGCCCTGGGTTCGATTCCTCAGCACTACGTAAGCAGAAAAAGCTGGAAGTGGTGCTGTGGCTCAAGTGATAGAGTACTAGCCTTGAACTGAAGAGCTGAGGGACAGTGTCCAGGCCCAGAATTCAGGCCCCACAACCAACTAAATAAATAAATAAGAAGGCAAACTTCCACTTGGCAATGTGATGCCTGGGCAGAAAGCTGCAACCCTTATGTGACAAGTCTTAAGTGTAAAGATCAGCATACCAAGGAAGAGTGAAGCTTGAAGATGGAAAGCACCAGAATTCCTGATAATCCTCACTGTGCAGCTAAATTGACTACTCATGGAATCCTCCAATTTTGAATGTATTTTTATGTGAAATACTGGTTAAATCAATTAGTTTAGTACTGTGTAACTTGAAGCCTAATATATATTTAAGATGTGATAACTGAAGTGGAAGAAGAACCAAGATTACTGTAAGGCTTCAAGACTGAACAGCTGAAAGAAAGGTTATTTATAAAAGAGAAATCAGGAGGAAGAATACAAACATATAAACAGAGGAGGCTAAGGGATCCACATCAAACTCTTAACATGAGTTAAAACTAAAGCAGTACATTAAATAAAGACATAGAGCTAATAATGGAAGTGGGAAGTAGAGTTATAGAAATGAGAAACATCCATACTGAAATGAAGTACTTCATAAAGGAAAAAAAAAAGAGTATGACCACTAAGAAACAGTGAAAAGCACACAGGACCTTGAGGACACTGGTTACCTTCCCATTACCCATTTCACCTTGCCAACACTGTGCTGCAGTACTTATTCACTCCACAGGCTAGGCCAGTTTATAATCCTATACCTCTGGGCAAAGATACTGCTACTGACCTGGCAGTATGATCTTCTATGTTCAATGAGAGGAGAACTGAGGATTTTGAGACATTATTACGAAAGAAGTCTTCTCTCTCCCTTTGGCAGTACACGAAGGTGGCTGACTGCAATAAGAACATTGCTGGTGGGGCTGGGAAGGTGGCTCAGTGGTAGACCGGCTTGCCTTGCATGCATGAGGCCCTGGTTAGATTCCTCAGCACCACATAAGCCGGAAGTGGCGCTGTGGCTCAAGTGGTAGAGCACTAGCCTTGAGCTGAGGGACAGTGCCCAGGCCCAGAGTTCAGGCCCCACGACCGGACCCCCCCCCAAAAAAAAAAAAGAAAGAAAAGAACATTGCTGGTTGCTTCCTTCATTAGAAGGGAAGTCTGACCATGAAGCCCAAACAGGACAATGTTAAGAAAATAGCAGGACCTCAGCCCTGATAGCATGATCTTTGACTAAACCACAATTCCAGCCATCTCTATGTACTTGCTAATTACATGAACTAGTACACTAGTTGTGTTTACAATTGTTTGCAGCCTAGCTGATATAGGAAACTATGTTTATAGGGAAGAATAAAATTAAGACTGTAAAAACTGTGAAGAAAGCTTCAGAGACATAGGGAAATCAGGAAGTAAAATGAAGAACCTAGAAAATAAGTTATTTTATTATTATACAATCAAGTGTATTTACAAATAATTTGAGAAAATTAAACACAGAAAAGGCCATTGGATTTAATGATGAGGAAGTCATAGGTAATGTTTTTGTGCGAGCCAGTACTGTGCCTGCCAGGCTGGGTACTGTCCCTGAGCTTTTTTGCTCAAGGCTAGCATTCTACCACTTGAGACACAGCTCCACTTCCGGTCACAACACCCACCCCTCTTTGTTTAGTGATTACTTAGAGGTAAGAGTCTTTTGGAATTTCCTGGCCACCGTAACTTTTAAGACAGTAGTTTCCTTCGTAAAAATGTAAAGGAAGTCACTGATGAATTTATTAAGAACCACAATGTGCCAGATGACAGATCTGAGGATCAAAGCTTGAAAACTCTTATCTCCAATTAACCCACAAAAAAATAAAATGAAATAAAAAATAAAATAAGAAAGCCAGAAGTAGAGCTGTGTGGCTCAACGGGTAGAGTGCTAGCCTTGAGCACTCTGAACACCAGGTACCAGTGGCTCTCACAAGTAATCCTACCTACACTGGAGGCTGAGATCTGAGGACCACAGTTCAAAGACAGCCCAGGCAGAAAAGTCTGTGAGACAATCCCCAATTAACCACCAGAACATCAGAAGTGTACTGTTGCTCAAAGTGGTAGAACACTAGCCTTGCATGAAAAAGCTGAGGGGCAGAGTCCATGTCTTGAGTTCAAACCCCATGACTGACACACACAAAAATGCTCAGGAACAGTGCCCAAGCACTGAGTTCAAGCCACAGAACTGGCACAAAACAATAAAATGAACCACAATGTACAAAACACTTGAGTGGCCTTTTAACATGTATTCTTCAATATCAATTTTGTGAGAAAAGAATTACATCCTACTTTATAGATGCAGAATAGCCTCAGTAGGGTAATTAGTAAGTGGTTTTTAACAGACTTCAAAACCTAATTTGAAAACTTTAGCTGGCTCAAAGTGAATATTCTTCCTACTATACCAGGCTCCTGGGATGAACGAATTGAACTTTTAAAAGGGGAAAGAGGAAGAGATGGTCATGGATACATCTGGAGGAACTGCTTTCAAAAAGAAGCAAAGACGTTATTTCCTCTGACATATGAGTAAATAGGAGATAATATAGAGAAGAAGACTGGGAATTGGAGGGTGTACTTCCTCAGATGGACATTTTTCTTACCATTGACTGAAGCTCAGCAACCCAAACTTTCCTGTCTCTTCAAACTGAAATCAGATAACTGATAACACAAGAGCTAAAAATACTAGCTTTGGTTGTAGATTAATGAAGGCTACTAAGTACAAAAATAAAATGAAAATATTTACTTTTGTCTTTTTTTTTTTTTTTTGGTCCGTTGTGGAGCCTGAACTCTGGGCCTGGGCGCTGTCCCTCAGCTCTACAGCTCAAGGCTAGCACTCTAACACTTGGGCCACAGCGTCACTTCCGCGTTTTTCTGCTTATGTGGTGCTGAGGAATGGAGCTGAGGAATGGAACCTAGGGCCTCATTCATGCAAGGCAAGCACTGGAGCTACCACTGAGCCACTTTCCCAGCCCCAATATTTCTTCTCTGAAACCAAACAATGCTATCTCTAAACAGTATCAGCTATGTTTTTAGACCAATTTCTGTAATTTTGGTGCTCCTGAGACATATCCAACTAAACAGTGACAATTACCCAAGGCAACTTCCTCAGGAAGTTGTACCTTTTTGTTGTTGGCTGTTGTTTGCTGTGCTAGGATCCAACCTATGGTCCAGCACATGTAAGCAAGTGCTCTACCAGGGAAGTTCCATGCCCAGCCCTTTAATTCTTCAGTCTGCACTTAGAAACTTTTGGCATGGTACTACTTTATCCCACTTTTTGTATCAATAACTGATTACACGGAAGGAAAGAGGGCTGAGACAGGTACAAACCTACAGCTTATAAAAAATGTCAAATACTATATATAAAAATTGTTACACACTGCCATCATTGAGAATACAAGAAATCTGAGAAGTCCTAACCTTAAAAAGGTTTTCTCCACTTTCGTCCTTTCTAAACAAAACAAAGGGCTTGTACAACACGGGATTTTAAAGCTTCGGTGTGCTATTTATGCTACCCTTGAATAAAAGAATGAACCACTTGTCCTTTCTCGTGTCGTTACGTGATTATGTTACATGTATGTAGTCTTTTGGGGGGGGGGAGGAACATAATAAATACACTTCCCGATTCTCTCACTGGACCTATAACGCTTACATCTCCGCCTCGAAAGCTCAGAAAGAGATGAAAGATTTAACAATCATGGGTCCCAACCAACACTGTATCTCCATTCTGCAGGAGTTCTCAAAGACTCAGATTCTCCATCCCAATCTCCTGAGGATTTGATTCTCCCCTCCAGGTGAACTCAATCCACATGCCGGACTGTCTGTCGGGTAATCTCCTCAGCTAGGGAAAACTAGCCGAAAAACTTTCAAAATGTACCCCCCTCCCCCCAAAAAAGAGAGAAATGCAAGGAAGCAAGAAGCCCGAAACCAGGAAGATGAGGCAGCGACCACAAACACATGAAGGGGCGGAGGACCCACCCACCTCAGGCGAATGGAGAATGGTTTGCAAAGGTGAAGCTTCCTGGGAAGGCGGCGGGGAGGTGCGGGCGGCGTCACGACCCCTACCTGCCCGGGGGAGAATGGCGGGATGACTGGAGGCCGGGGAGGGGGACGCGGGCCTGAGAGGGGG